AATCAATTCCCGGGTGAGTCCTTTGTCCCCTGATGCCCTATTAATACCCTGTATTGATCCGGATGCGCTGTTGATAGCAACCCTCTCAGTATAGGCCATACTGATAGAGTGAAACCTCCTCTTTTAACAGGACTGGGTATTAAATCACCCACTACCTAACCACTCCCCACGCTCACAAACTACAGTCAACTCATAGTAACAACCCTTTTTACTATTAAATACTCAGGTTAGTTACCCAGAGGCTGACAGTAACCCACATGGAAGAATCTAGCTCAGAAATCCAGTCACCACTTACAGAAAATTTTCCCCCAGTCCCTTCTGCAACTTTGGATTCCTGCCCCCTGATCCTGGAAAATGACCCATCCCTGGAACACTTGGAAAAAGAAGAAACCAAAAACCTTGGATTGGAAACAGAAATCTTACCAATTCCTTCAGAAATATCCTTACCATGTGCCTTGATTGAAGAGAATTACTCCCCAGCAGTATCAGTTACCTTGGAATTTCCCCCCCTGATCTCTCAAAATTGTGAAGAATTGGAACCCTTGGACAATAAGGAACAACAAAATCCAGGACCAGAAATTTCCCCCTGTGAAGAAAACAGACCTACAGAAGAAGAAAGATTCCCAGCAAAAAATTTTCCCCAACAATATTTACTTGTAGTTCAAGTGGAAGAAATCCCAGACAAACCTGTTCCTGGATTTGCAAAATTCCGAGAAATCCTGAAACAAAAGTACACTGTAGAAGATAACAGCAACCCAGAAGATGCATCAAACTTAGAAGAAACAGAAGGGAATAAATTAGGTTTATTCTTGGATTCAAAAAATCAGCTTCAGTACCCCAGGAATGATATCATGGTTGCTAAACCTGAAGGAATTGGAACTCAAGTGGATCCAAGTTCAGGAATTAGACCAATCATTTTCTCACAAATATTCTCCCCATCAGAAGATATCCGAGACAGCCTTGAACCTGAATTACCTGAAATCCTTGAGGAAAGCTTTGGAGAAAAGGTAACTGTAGAAAGTTTTACCAATACCTTGATCCCAGTGAATGTGCCAGCCTTAAACCCAATAGTATCAGATCAGCTGCCTACCAACATTTCAGAAGTTCTTACTACTGAAAAGACTGAAGCTCCAGATAGTACCAGCTCTGAAATTCCACAGTTTGGATCACCAAAAATTTGCACCCAGAAGGATTCACCCTCCCTTGGAAAGTCCTAAGGATAGAAATTATTCTGGGCAGCTGGTAAAAAAGAAGAATCTCACATGGTACCAGAAATAAATATCTTTGGAGAGCAGATGGATTTCCCTTTCTGTGCAAACCCGACTCCAGTACAAGATTTTGGGAGGTATATTCCAAAAAAAAAGAGATAATGAAGCAGGTGGTAAGAATGCGAGAGACCCGGCCCAAGAATGAGCAAGAAACTCACGGGAACCTGCCCCTAACGGTTGTGACGAGGGTGGGGAGAGAAAGTAAGTGAGGTTATATGCGAAGATGGAAGGCGAGAGGAAAATGAGGTCCCCAAGGCTGCTGAACGCGGGTTGTTTTTTGTAAGTATTTTGTT